CGCCGCTTCCACCGCGGGCAGAGGAGCGCGCGCGGGGCGCCCACCTTGAGCTGGGACTTGGAGACCTTGCCGCTGCGGTCCAGGTCCAGCGCGGTGAAGGCGTGCCAGATGGCCTTGAGCAGTTCGTCCTTCAAGCCCCCCATGGCCGCGGTTCCGCCCGCAGGCCGCCCGCCCGCCAGCCTGCCCTGTCAGCCCCTCCGCGCCTCTGCGGCCCCTCGGGCCCGGCCGACGCCGCCCGCCGCGCCGTCACCTGACCGGGACGGCCACGCCCCCGCACGGTTCCGGCCCCGTCGGGCCCCGCCCACTGGGCGCTCGCCGGGTCCCTAGCACCCCACGCTGCAGCTCTGGGTCTGAGCCTGCACACCTCTGCCTTCTGCCCCGCCTAGGACGCCACATACCACCCCAGTGGCCATATGATACCAAGTTCCAGCCATTTTCGGTGCATGTTGGCACCGCAAACAAGCTCTCCCACCCCGAGGGTGACCTGCCTGCCCGTCTCTGGTCCCGAAGTGAAAAAAGGAGGCCAGCTCTGTACCCGAAATCGAGTCGCCTTCTCGGAAAAGTCTCCGGGCAGGATCTCAAATGCAAACGCAGTCCCCCAAGTAGAAAAGAATGTGGAAGGAGAAAGAAGACGCGGAAAGGCCTCTGCTGGAGGCTGGTTCATTCATCCACCCAGTAGGTTTCTAGATACCCACTCTGTGGTGGGCTCTGCGGGTGGTGTCAAGATTTAAGGCTGCTGTAGAAAGCAGATGATATTCAGGCAAACTTTTCTCTCTAGTTCCCTGTGTTGAGGGTCTGTTCACACCTTAGGAAGAGTGTGGCTGGGATAGCGCTGTTGTTTCTGAGTTTGCTAACAGGACGTTCCCCAGAGACCCCAGCATAATACCACTCCACCCATCTTACTCACCGGAATGGCAGGCGGTCTACTAAAAATAAGAACAGAAAACCTTAGCCACGCCTAGAAGCGCATCCTCCGAAGTGTACTCGAATATGTTCAGTTATGATCTCTTGACAATGATCGCTGGAGCTCTCTGATCATACATTCTCCACGTAGAAAAATATGCATGATTGAACCAGATATTCTAGAGTGCCTCTCGGTGCTGGCATTCTACACTAATAACTACTGTTGGCAGACTCATCTGATGAGGTTACCGGGCACAGTGCCTCTCCAACTCAAGACTGAATCTGGACACTACTGAGAGAGGAAATATCAAGCGTTTCCAAAGGTGACGCATGGCACTCAGATAGGTTGGTGTTTTGTGTTCTTTACTGCATACTTATGTGTATACCTAATAAGAAAGGGGAAAAATCGTAATAAGAAAGGAGTATTTGGAAACATCATAAAAAGGAAAGCTACTTCAAAAGGCACAAGATTAAATAGGAGCCTCATGGGACAGAAGGCAATCGCAGTCAGGGCCCTGGATGCTCTGTTCCACTTTCCCATTTCCTCTCCCTCCACTTCTCATTAGCCTCTGGCTCGGTCAGAATTCAGTGGCCTTTTTTTTTTTTTTAATCTTCCTCATCATCAACCCGAGACTGCCAGTCAGCAAAAATGTATAATTTGAACCTCTGATTTCTTCATGTCAACTCAGGGTTCCCCCAGAAGTGAGAAAAAGGAAATCCTCCTAATTCCCAAGGTTCCGTTTAACCACCAGATGACAATCCTCTACGTTTCTGGAAGAATCCAGCAGACATTTCAGAGGTTGTTGGTTTCCTTGTTTTTGTTTTTTTCTGATCACATGAGCAGGCTATCCTGGACTTCCGGATTTCCACTCTTCCACAATCCCTAGTCTCACGATCCAAACCAACTTTAAAGCATCGTGATGTCATAGAATGAGCTGTGTTTTGACATCTATTGCAACATAACCAAATGTAGCAGCTTGAAACAGCCATCCACATTATCGTTTCATTTCTGCGGGTCAGGAAGGTAGAAGCTGCTTAGCTACAGAGTGCTGGCTAAAGATATCGCTGGGGCTTGCACTCAAGACGCAGGACAGTAATCATCTGCAGGCTTGGCCTGGGCTGGAAGATTCATGTCCAGGAAGGCTCACCCACATAGTACTGGGTATTCACAAAAGACCTCAATTCCTCTCCATGGGTTCGAAGCTGCAGAGAGTCCTCAAGAACATGATCTCTGGCGTTCCTCAGAGCAAGTGATCCAAGGAACAGAAAGGTGGAAGCTGCAATGTCTTCTATAAGCTAGCCTCCTCAGAAATCACTCACTACCGTGGAAACAGTCTAAATACCTATCAGCACTTGGCTGAATAAGTACAATGCGGCACAAACATGCAATGCCATATGACACAGCCGTAAAGAGCAATTAACTCCTAACGAATGCTCTAACACAGTGGAACCTGGAAAACATTGTGTTGAATGAAACAAATCAGTCACAAAGGGACAATTACTATCTGATTCCACTAGGCTATTTAGGATAAGGAAGTAGGTAAAGACCCAAGTTTATTAGGAGCAGGCAGGAGGGGTTGGGAGAGGATTCACTGCCTAATGGACACTGAACTTCTGTTAAAGGCGACTGATATTTGACAGTCATGAATGGTGAGGGTTGAACCGCATGTCACTGTATTGGACGTGTGAAGAAGATGGAAATGACAGATGGTTTGTCTTATATACATTCACCGTAATAAAACAAATATAGTACCTGTGCTATACATCAAAAAAGACTCACTCACCATCATTTCTGCAATTGCCTGTTGATTACTCCGCCACGCTCACTTCATGTGAAAAGACCACTGCAAAAGGGTAGGAACACCAGGAAGCAAGAGCCACTGGGGGGCATCTTGGAAAAGGCGAGGCAGAAGCTCCGCTCCCCTATTTGCTCCCCTAGGGGTGATAGGAGGCTTCTTGTCTTTGCGTGTAAAATGAGAGTGCCACTACTGCCTTGCAAAACTGATGCTAGCCTTCACTGAGAAGCTAGTCCATGGGAGACCCAGTCCCATGGCATCCTGCAACTGTTGATAATGGCTCGTGTGAGAGTTTTGTATGTGTCAGTTTATCGAAGCTAGAAGTTAGATCCCCAAATTTCCCTTCCCAGCATGGTTTCAACTTCGGATTGGCCACAAGGAAAATACTGTATGTATATGGATTGGAAGGAGTCAGTGAAGCAGCAGTCTCTGGGCTCGGGAGGTGGATGTCGGTTGTGAGACTCCAGATATGATACTTGTCGCTTATTGAATGACACGCTTCGCTGGCATGTCATAGTGGCCGGCCTCTAGCTCCTCCAGCTCCTACCAGATCTCCCATTTCAACTCCGTTGAGCCCTGGGCAAAACATATATGTCATTCCATGACCAAGAGCCTCAGCTCCTTTGTCAGGTCATCTCTATCATCAAAATAAGAGAGAGTTGCATCTTCCATTTCACCCTCGTGGCTCCCAGTCTGTCCCTGCGGGCTCTAGCTTGTCCTCAGTCTCCCTGCACTCTCCTTACTGATCACTAAGCCTGCTGTCCTAACCACCTGAGGTCGAGCCTCTCTTTGTGGTCCTTGACTGATGACTTCTCTCTGACCCTCCACCACTCTTCTCCCAGACTCTTTCTTCCCTGGCTGATTCCTACAATGAATTCTGGGTCCGGTGGTGGTTCTGTCTCCTTGATTGAGCCCCACACTGACATCCCTGGCACAGTAACAAGGCACCTGAAACGTAGCATTGACTTCGGAAGGACAGGAGTCACCTCTCCAGAGAAGGCTTGAAAGGCAGTAAGGGAATCATTTTGGAAGGCTAGCATGTTATGCAGTGGCAGGTTATTTAGCAACATCATTGCCTGAGGTAAGGTAGGAAAAAAATCAGGATCTTGGCACTCCACCTAGAAAGATTCCCAGGCAAGATGTTTCAAGCGCCCAATGGCTTCTTCTATTTGCCTATGAGAGATACAAGAAGAGAGGTGAACTAAAGAGGGAATCATTTGATTTTCTAGCAGAACTTAGGAGAGATAGAAAAGCTAGCCTCTGGGAGAAAACCATCTTAAAGGAATAGCTAGAAGATCGAAGGGCATGCTTTCATAGAGACTTCCAACAGGACAGAAACACTCTACGAAATTTATCAACATGATTATCTCAAGCACCTGGATTCTCAACTCAAGTCAGAGAAGCGAGTACAGATATATGTACATATATGTATAGGTTTAGTATTAAGGTAGCAGATGGACATTGGGCCTCCACTAAAGTACTCCCTCAATGCAAGAACATTTTGTTCTATTAAACTGGCATTCCATGATGCTCACCTTCCCGATAGGATCGCTGAAGACAAAGCCGGTGCATAAGCAAATGTAGTGAAGAAAACTGATGGTGCCTGGCTATCAAAAGATATAGCATCTGGGGTCTTAAAGGCTTGAAGATAAATAAGCAGCCATCTAGCTGAGAAGCAACAAAGCCCACATGAAAGCACACCAGGCTGTGTGATCACGAGGTGTCAATAGGATCAGGTATCAGGCATCAAAGACCCAGAACAAAAAATCATGTAATTGTGAATGAGGGGGAGTGCAGAGTGGAGACCCAAAGCCCATCTGAAGGAAATTAGACATACCCTTATAGAAGGGTCTCAAGGAGGAGATGAGTCAGTCAGGGTGCAGTGTGGCATTGACAAAACATGCAACTTTCCTCTAGTTCTTTAATGCTCGCCACCACCCCCACTCCACTATCATGATCCCAATTCTACCTTAAAAATCTGGCTAGACCAGAACATGTACACAGGTACAGATAAGAGCTGGAAACACAGCGAATACAGGGCAGATAAACCCCTCAGGACCAATACTGAGAGCAGCCACACCAGAAGGGGAAAGGGAAGGTGGGGAGAAAAAGGGGAGACTAATCACAATGATCTACCTATAACCAACCCCCTCCCAGGGGGATGGACAATAGAAAACTGGGTGAAGGGAGACATTGGTCAGTATAAGACATGAAAAATAATAATAATTTATAAATTATCAATGGTTCATGAGGAAGGGAGTGTCAAGGAGGGAGGGGAAAATGTGAGAAGCTGATACCAAAGGCCCAAGTAGAAAAAAGAAAGTGTTTTGAGAAGGATGATGGCAACAAATGTACAAATGTGCTTGACACATGGATGGATGCATGGATTGTGATAAGGGCTGTATGATTCCCCCAACCAATAAAATGATTTAAAAAGACATTTTAGG